GAAGGTGGGGAGGGGCATGGCCCAACTAAAATGCAATTGGTTTGTTACTGAGTACTATTCATGGGAAGACAGCATCCTGACTCCTTCTCTATACAGCATATTGGGAGTAAAAATGATGCATCCAGGTGGAAATATGATTAGGGGTTGGAAGACAGGGAAAGAAGAAGTCAGAAATAGACCCTGAGAGAGTCACCGGCTGGCTGGCTGCAAATACTGACTCTCCAGTAGTGATAGAATAAAAAAGTGGGGGTTATCTCTGGAAGATTCAAGATATAGGGGGTAACTCTTCTGTGGTTTTGACTTGCCCAGCAGATTTCCACATACACACGTGTACACACCTATGTTTGCATGCACACACATAAACACATAACTGACTGCCCTCCTTGGAAGCACAGAAGAAGAAGCCTCCCACCTTTAGTCCAGGTGCCAGCTCCTGCGGCTGGCTGCAGCCTAGGAGATGGACAAGCCATCCGCCCGAGGTCCCAGGCTGCAGCCACCCGGAGAAGCTGCCAGCCCTGTGGTCCAGGGTGCCAGCGCTGTGGCCAGGGAAATAGGTTCCCTCTTCTCCTACTGCAGTCATTACTTCAATATTCCCCTTCTGAATTTCTCTTTTATGCTGCAACCCAACTCCACTTTTCATCAGAAGGATATGGAACAGAGAGAGGAGTGTTAAAAACTTAAATTTTTAAGCTGGTAAGATTGGTACTTAAACATATAATGGAAAACTAGAGTCCTAAGGTAACAAAGGCTACTAAGGACAGGGACAGCGTATGACCTATTATATCCAGCAATCCATATGGGGACTGAAAACTTTGCAATGATGACAATTACTGAAGATATGAATCAACTAAAATAGTTGACAGGGACAATTCTTCCATCTTTGAAAATATCTACATCAAATCTGTTTAAATAGATTTTCATCTGCAGAATATAACACATTCTGACAAGACCACCACCACCAAAAGTGTGGTCAGTGTTGTGCCGATAAATGTTTAATAACAGCCCCCTTCCCCCCGCCCCGAGTGCACAAATTTTTGTTCACCAGGCTACTAGTAATACATAATATTAGGAGTAAAAAGCAAACTACAATAAAACATGATATTTTTGTATAAACTTAATACAATTATGCAAAGAATAGTACTGTATATTGACCATGGATCCATATATTGGTCAGTGTTGTGCCGATAAATGTTTAATAACAGCCCCCTTCCCCCCGCCCCGAGTGCACAAATTTTTGTTCACCAGGCTACTAGTAATACATAATATTAGGAGTAAAAAGCAAACTACAATAAAACATGATATTTTTGTATAAACTTAATACAATTATGCAAAGAATAGTACTGTATATTGACCATGGATCCATATATTACTGTGGATTCCAAGTTTAGGAAGTGGAAAAGTTTGGAGGGAGTATTTATATTTACCTGTAATATTTCTTAAAGAATAAAAGCAAATATGACAATGATAACAAATCTGGTAGTCAAAATTATGTTGCTTTTTGTATTCCTTCTTTATTACCTATTTTTCTATAAATGAATCAAGTTGGTGCAGGAAACCTGCACCCATAGGTATAATTTTTTAAATGGATTCTTATTTTTTATCAAATACTGACATTTATAGAGAATCTCTTTCCTAATACAAAAACCAAACCTGAATTAAGATAATGCTTTGCTTACATGTTCTCAAAATGTTTATTACGATAATAAAAATCAGGAGTATATTGCTTTAGTTTGAAGCCAGCTTTTGTAAAATTTAATTTTTATTTCAAAATCCATTTTCCCTAATTTAAAGTAGTAAAATAACAAAAGAATTATTTAATATTTGGAATAACTTTCCATTTAGGAAAAGAAATTGCCTGCATTTAGGCTAGTTTCAGGAGAAGAGGCCATTCATGCACACTATAACATGTGATTAATGTTCTAACATGTTAAGCCCAAGGATTGTTGCTCACATCAAATCAGAAGTAACTTCAGTGTATCTCAAGGTTTCTTTGGCTTCTGGATTTTTAAATGGGGATGCAGATGCTCATGATTTTATATATGTCAGGTAAGGGCCCAGTGGATGTGAAAGTTCACTATCACAGATGTTTTATACAGAGGTCTGCCCTAACTGGTTTGGCTCAGTGGATAGAGTGTGGCCTGTGGACTGAAGGGTCCCAGGTTTGATTCTGGTCAAGGGCATGTACCTTGGTTGCGGGCACATCCTCAATAGGGGGTGTGCAGGAGGCACCTAATTGGTGTTTCTCATCGATGTTTCTAACTCTCCCTCTCCCTTCCTCTCTGTAAAAAATCAATAAAACATATTTTAAAATAAAAATGAAAAAAATATAGAGAGAGGCCTTTAAAATGTTTTTGGTACAAAAATGTCATTTTCTGTGAATAGCCCATTTATATATTGTGCCTATTTTTTTTCTACTGGGACTTTCAAAAATGTATTTATTTAGAAACTAGATAACTAGAGGCCTGCTCCCTCTCGCAATCCAGGACCCCTCAGGGGATGTTCCGATCCCCGCAGGCCAGGCCAAGGGACCCTACCAGTGCATATAAGATCTTTGGTTAATCTCTTTTCACCCTCCCTCTTATCCCCTCCCCTCTGAGATTCATCAGTCTGTTCCATGTTTCCATGTCTGTTGTTTCTGCTCCTGCATTGTGCATCTGTCCCCTGGTAGTTTGTGCATGTCATAGCTACTGGCCAGTCAGCCGGTTGCTTAGGCTTATATATATATATATAGATAAGTATAGACTTATATGAAATTAAAAAAATATGCAGTAGCTAGTTTGGTTCAGT